ATTTCCTTTAATATAATTTTTATGAATGCATATTCTTTTGGCAATTATCCCACTAGCGCGCCTCTGGCTCAGTATTTATCCGTCGATAACAATGGACAAATCCCTTAAAACAGGGTGATACCTACCTGCTCTTTATGAAACGACATAATTTTGCAATGCGGACTAGGGAAGTGACAGAATTTATTGACGGATCACCCTGTAGCGCTTTTGAATACTTAATGAGATTTTATTACTCTACACTCTTTTGAAATAGACTATAGAAATATATTTCTTCATTGTTTATATATTATGTTATGCCGAGTGTACCACAAGTTCGTATGGACTTATTCCCTAAATTGCTTTTTTTTCTTTAAATCTTACGACTTGAAAACCATAAAAAACGATAAGCACCTCTATACAGTGTGTTCGATAAATAAAGGATGAACCTGTAACTACCCCAAAGTCTACTCATGCTCACACACAAAAAATTGACCTCACTAGAGTTTTTTCAAAGCCATTTTTACATATTGTAGGTGTTTCGAGTATGCTTTATTTCAATTACTTTTGATTAACTGGCTCTGTAAAAGAAAATGTAATTTTTATATATACCCATGCCTTGAAAGAGATACTAAAAAATGAATTAACTCAAAAAACTAGGACATACATTTTTATACCTGAACTTTCCCCATTCGCGATGAAAAAATTGTGTCGAGGTAAATGTGTCAATTCTTCTGAAAATGTAATGGCTTGCTATAGTTTCTATGATAGAATTTTAATGCTTTTTTACAAAAACTTTCGGTATTGCTATTAGATTGCCAATGAAGCAATTTCTTAAAGTAAATTTTCACAAATTATATATTTAAAATGTAAATAGAAGTAAAACTCAGTGATCAGTGAAACTATTTGTTGTTTTTNGGGGGGTTCTAAAAATGTGACAACCTGTGACAAGGACGGGGGGATCTAAAAGTTCTAAAATTCATGTGACGTAATTTATGGATGGCCCCAAACTTTTCAGATCACCCTTGTATGTTTGCTCTTTCACAGACCGTGATGTAACTATGTCAGGCAGCCCAGAATATACTGAAAAAATACATTAAAAGTAAACGAATTACTTCATTCTCTGTCTTCATTTAGGTCGCTACCAAGCCGGAGTAGCTGCCTACAACAAAATGGTATACGCCATCGGAGGCTGCGATGCTTGGAATTGTCTGACCTCGGTTGAGGTTTACAATCCAGAAGAAAACACTTGGCAATCATCCAAACCCATTATTACGGCGAGACGAGGTTGCGGTTTGGCTGTGTTTGATAACAAACTTTACGTAATCGGAGGATCAGATGGTTCTCATTCCTTGAATTCAACTGAAGTTTTCGATGAAGCAACTCAGACTTGGACAATGGGGCCAACTTTGACAACTCCGAGGGCTAATGTAGAGGTGGCAGTTGTGGGAGATCGGTTGTATTCAATTTTTTACCTGCACCAAAATCCTTCAAAAACAATTTTTCTAGAGGTGATTCCGAATCGAATGAGCTGTCTCTCATATTTTTAGGACCTTTTATCTCTATTTTTCATATTTTTGAACTTGTTGATTAGACTATACACCTAACTGTGGTTACCAGGGTATCTATCAAATACCCCGTATATAGTTTTTCGAATTGAGAATGAACTCCATGACTTGAGATGTCCTGAATAATTAATTTGTTTGCTGACAACTAACTTCGTCTATTTTCAGTTCACCAAGATCAGCCAAACAAGCAATGTGTTAAACCTATACTGCGCTCGAATCGAAGTTCTGAACCAATCCCGCGAAGAAATGTCTCTCGTCAACGAAAGTTCCCTGTGCCGGCTCGTCTTGGAATGGATCAAGCGACAAGTCAACGATCACCACATCAACATGTCTGGCCTCTCTGAGAAAACGTTCATGCTGTACCTCGCCATAGACAACTCCTTGCAGGACTGTTCTAGTCTACCCACCGGAGATATAAGCGACACTGAAATCGTGCAGGACTACAAGAAGTTGTCGCTGAAAGACAAGCAGGTGAATTCGAAGCCCAATAGGAAGATTTTGGGGCAGCCTTCGAAGCCTCGCGTATTGATATATAATAGGGAAATCGGCGAGGAATTGGAACACGAACTTGAACCGGATTGGAACTTGATTGCTTCGGCTAGCGTCGGCGAGCATAGCTTTTTGGCTTTAGTGACGCTGGGGGGTAAACTGTCAACGCTCTCGATACAACTCAGGTAAGTTTTTATTCTTCGTTTGTGAAAGGGAAATTTCCTACGTTTCAGTTTATTTGCCTCACGTCTCAAGTACACCTCCAAATTGGTTTGGAGTTGGCTTCTCCCATAATCCAATTGTGAATGAGTTGATATTTTCAGTCAAATATCAATGAGAGCCTTCTATTTGTTTTCTAGTTGATATTGGGTTGATTCTAAAACGTTACATGTCCGACGGATTGTGAATAGCCATGATGCTCTATACATAGCTCGGAGAGTTATTAACATTGTCTACCCATAACACGAAACCGATGAACAAGCAGTTAATGACGATGACACCCAAGATAAAACCCTACTTTTTATCATTGCAAAGATACGATAGGTTGCCTTTTATGTTTCGGGATTTGGCAACCCTAGTGTTGCAATCTGGCAACTGACAGCTCTATCGTAGAGTTGGACATTTTTGAGCTGATACCTGCTCAGAACGTTTTGACATACGCGCGCTATTTGTGTTGTTTACAGTGACTTAAAAGATTNAACAGGAAAAGGTCGCAAGGGGTTAAGTCTGGTGAATACGGTGGCTGAGGCATGAATATGTTGTTTTTTGGTCAAAAAATTCTTATTGATTCTCGCAAGCGGCGCATATCTTCAAGGTAATAGTCGTTATTGACTATAAGAACAATTTTCAGACAATAGCATGATTTAAAACTTTCATCTGATCTATTTTTCACGATAACACTTAGGAAAAAATACGGTTTTATATCATTCACAGTTAAAAAAACATGATTCGTCACATGTAGTTACTCTTTCCATCAGCTTAGAATAGTTTTTAATGTTTTTGAGATGTTTAGAACAAATTCTCATTTGCGAAACCTTTTCTTCAGGCTAGAGGATTTGAGCCACTATTTTGAAACATACTTTTGTCATAATGAAACATTCGTATAATATTTGTCTCAACTGATTATTTGTCAATTCCTACAATCTCAACAATTGCAAGGATACTCAAACGGCGATCTAGACAGAAGAGATTGCCTATTCTGTCGATGTTTTCAAAGTTGAAATTACGTCCTGGGCGTGGATTATCTTCGATGACTGAAACGTTTGTACCCTTTAAAACCGGTGTACGTGACATACTTTCGTCTCAATACATTTGTTGTAAGAGAGAAAAGCTCTCTGTTGCGGATTTACAAAGTTTTACTATAAATTTCACGTTATATGTTATTCAATTCAAATGCCTACCATTTTTCATGACGAGCAGCATGAACGCACGAAAGCTGTGGCCCAACTGAGCAAGCTAGTGTCGTTCAACCGGCTGGAATGTAGATGGGCTTGCACCAATTGACCTTGAGGCTTGCACCAATTGTCTCACACAAATCCAGTACCATTATTTTCTATCCAGAGCATGGTCCATAATAACCAGCAATTGAACGATTTTTCCTCAATTTCCTAAACAAGGGATGGGGTTTTAGGGCAATACTTTTCACACCCATGGGTTGATTAGGGTGACTTTGCACAGAATAGGTAGACCGCTGAAAAAAAGCTTTTTAAGGATGGGACATGTACACATAGGAATCACATCAAGTCTTGTCTACAACTTCAGGTTTCAATCGTTCAGGAATTTCATCATAGCGTCTATTAGTTTTTAGTATTAATTCTACTGATATTCACTGCCATCTCTTGTAGATTTTGATTTTTTTAAATACAATTTCATCTTTAGGATTCCTGATTTCAATTATATCTTAGAGTGATGGTTGACAAAAACATTGACTTTTTATTTTTCAACCTATTCCTGTCCTATAGGAAAACTATCACCGTAATGTTATTATTGTACAAGACAATCAATCATTTTTTAATTTATCTTTAGGCTGAATACCCCTTCTACACCTTCTCCTGTGCAAACTCCAACTGCCAGCAGGCCTGCCAGTGAAGAAAAACCCGATCTATATTGTGCCCTCGCCAATATGTCCAGTCAAAGATGTGCTGTTGGCTGTGGAAATTTCAACAATACCCTCATTGTGTGCGGTGAGTAGTGATTAATGTAAAATTTGAACTATTTCTACTGAATACCCCTTCTACACCTTCTCCTGTGCAAACTCCAACTGCCAGCAGGCCTGCCAGTGAAGAAAAACCCGATCTATATTGTGCCCTCGCCAATATGTCCAGTCAAAGATGTGCTGTCGGCTGTGGAAATTTCAACAATACCCTCATTGTGTGCGGTGAGTAGTGATTAATGTAAAATTTGAACTATTTCTGAATTTCATATGTTATACTTTTTGTTTCACACAACTCAACAAAAATTCTATTTTCTCTGATCTAACAAAAAATTGAAATCCTTTTGGAGTGTTATAGCTTGAGTGATATTTGATAATCCATAATAAATTTTACTATATTCAGTACCTTATTGTTCTAATTTCCATTTGCAATATCAATGTAGAACAAGTGCAATGAGTATGTGTTGTATGTTGATATCACTAAATCATTGCCGATAATACTGAATGAGCACAGTAGTAAAATGGAAATGAAGCATATCCTTGGCCTTATTGTAAAAGCACCATATAGAACGAATTCAAAAAGTAGATATGACAAAACATATAAAATACCCAAACTTCTGGAAAATTCTTCAGTTTTTTGTATCCTGTAAAATCTGTCAAATGGCAAAATTTCGGTTTTTTTTCCAAAAAGATTTGTGGATGTTTTATGTATTTGTAGAGTATTGACAAATAATAGAACATCATTATTTCGAACAGTTATATCCCAAAAAATGATAAAGAAACTTGTGTTTTCAAACATAAATATCCAAAATCTAGATTCATTCACTCATGACACGAAAATTTATCTATCAACAAATATTTTACTTGGTTTTCTGATACAAATTCAAATGAATGTCGACACCAACATAAATGTTAATTTTATGAGCCCTTTCATTTTTCATAGCACTGAATGAAATCCGAATCATTTTGATCATCACATCAAAAAATGATGGAAGAATATTAAGGTCACAGGTAACATACTAGGGCCGCCTTTTAGGTTTTTACAGAAGGTAGGAAAAACTTTTTAGAACAAACTGATTTCTGTTTCAGCATATTTTCCTTTTTCATTTATACACCTTTTCATGCTTCAAACCAATCCTTGAAAGTGAATATAAACAGTGAAGCCGAAAAAACATAATATATTAGACGGTAATTTTCTTGAAATATCAAGAGTTGAAGAACCGAGAAGCTTTCACTATTGACGTAATTTCACAGAGAGAGAAACATCGACATCCATTGATTGATGAATTTAAAATTTGTTTTTGCTTTCCTTATAAAATTTTTCCAAGTTTCACCAGTACATATGATAATTCTATCATCAAAAAAATGAGTTTCACCTTCAGATTTCAAACAATATAGTATTATAAATATTGAACAAAACTGGGCCCATCACAGAACCTTGTGGTACGCCAATCTGAAATAATATATTTTTTCATGAGTTTCTGCTTCTATACAGTGGATCAGTTTTGAGACAATTGGACTTACATTTTCATCGACCATTTTTGGGGATTTTCACCTTCCATGATCTGAAAAAGAAAATGTAATGAAGGTTTTACACAAGTGTAGAAAGGCAAGTGTGAAAGCCTTAACCATTTTGTCTATAGAAAGGCAAACTTTTTAGTTCACCCCGATATGTTACTGTGCAAATTCGAAATACGTTTCACAAAAAAAACGTTCTGTTTATCAATAACTTGTCTTATTTAATAATTTTTCCTTTCAAAAAATTTGTATGGACGCTTATTTTAACGTTGATAAGTAAATTTATTTCTTATCACGAGTTACTGATGAATAGATTTTTTTCAAACATTGAATTTAGTAAACTGAATCCATTCAACAAAACAAGTATCTCAAACAATGATAGATGTGTGATTAAAGCATGATTGGGTAAAATATCTATTGGGTAAAATAAACAAACCTCCTTTCTCTGGCCAATGAGTTTTAACTGCAAGTGGCTGACAGAATTCATTGTTACAGTGTCAGTGGTCAGTTAGGTTTTAACGCCTGTGGTGTGTACTTATATGGTATTTTATCAAAGTTTGAAATTTTTAAAATGTTAATTACTGATACTGCTGAAGAAACTACTAATTTGTGTCCCTACGCTCCGCCTAAAGATGTTATTAAAAAAATTTATAAAATTTTGTTGCTTCTTTGGTGCAACTAAAAAGTTTGCCATTACAATTTTTATTTTTTCAGATAATGGAAGGTAAAAGTTGATACAAAACTGATTTTTTCCACAAAAGTTATTGTTGTAGAAGAAACTGCTAATTTGTGTCCCTACGCTCCGCCTAAAGATTTTTCTATGCCCAGCCGCATGTTATTAAAAATAAAAAATAAAATTTTGTTTGTTCCTTGGTGCGACTCTGTACAAACAGCCTTGTCTGGGAGATCACGTGTACTATGCATGATAATGTTTTGAAGCACTCTGTTGCTTGGCTGAACAGAGTATAGTAACACATCACGATGAACTAAAAAGTTTGCCATTACAATTTTTATTTTTTCAGATTATGGAAGGTAAAAGTTGATACAAAACTGATTTTTTCCACAAAACTGTTGTTCAAACTTGTTATTCTGACTGTGTTTCAGGAGGCTATGACAGGACAGAGTGTCTCAGAACCGTAGAACACTACATTCCGGAAATCAACAATTGGAAAAATCTACCTCAGATGAGAGAAAGCAGAGGTCGTTTCAAAATAGCTGTGCTGAATGAAAAAGTGTTTGCCATCGGTGGTAGCAACGGAACGACAGAGTTGGATTCAGTCGAAATGCTGGACTTATCCGTGGGCAAATGGGTAAAGATGCCGAAAATGCCTATAGCTAGGAGCAACATGGGAGTGTGTACATTGGAAGGCTTGATTTACTGCATTGGTGGATGGAACGGACAAGTGGGAATAAAGCAGTGTGATGTGTTTGATCCGGAGACGTCGACATGGTCTTCTATTGCTCCACTCAATATAGGTATGTAATTTATGTTTTAGTGCTGAAAAACTATTCAGTTTACCTTTTTGAAGCATGTATATTTTGAAATGAATTAGACCTTCAACCAACTGACAAATGGTTGGATGATTTTGCTGCATTATAAATTTCTGAGTTTTTTATTTAATTAGATATTAGAAGGGGTAGCCTCAAATTGTTGTTTTGGTGAGTGAATGCAAAAGCTCAGTCACAGAGACCCTTGTTTTTTAAACAGTTTTATATAGCTTGGCCTATTTGTTTGTTTAGGTCAAATTTACTAATTGATATTTGGCCCCATTCCTATTGACAGATTGCTCTGATACTTGGTACTCACCTTGAGTTTTGATGACAATACAATTTGATAAATTCTGTATCATTGTAAATCTAAAATGGCCGCAACCACAAAGTGGCGGATTACATATTGTTTCACAATGTCCTCAAGTAACTATCAAATGACAGGGCATGACTAGAATAATAGTAGTACACCTTGAAAAAGATCCAAATTCAAGATGGCCGCAGCTACAAAATGGCGAATTACATGTTACCTCATAATACTGAGGTACTAAATGAACTAAACAGAATGAGAAGAATTGAGTAACAAAATAGTCAAACTTTAATAGGGTCTACTACTCAAAATTTATTTAATCATTTTTCTGTACTGATTGGTATCAATATTTATCTCTTTAGTGTAACTCGGCAGATGGTTATACATCTTCACACCATTATAAAATAAGGAGTCCTTGACCAGAAAGTTGCAATGAATAGGTAATTTTAAATTTTTTTGTACGCTCTGACGAGTTGTATAGTAATGGGTGATCAGATAAAAAGTTATAAAATCATTCAGCACAGTATTTACATATTTACTCGGGTTTTTATCTGATTGTTAAGGAGAGTGGTGTGATAATTGCTACCTAGGACATTCCAAAATAATTTTTAGTACATTATCTACATCATTACATCTACATTTTTTTTACTTATTTCATTGTGTACTAAGCAGACAGTCTGTATAACGAAGACGAGTAAAAATTATCTCTTGAACAGTTCCTTGCACTATGATATCATCCATCTTTGTTCATCTGTAAATTTTCAATTAGATAAAAAACTAAAAAACTGTCACGCATGAAGCTTACTGTACTCCAACAGTTGAACTCAATTCTAGAAAATTTAGGAAGTATTCAATAGTTTGATGTATAAATGGGTTGCCCCTTTCTTTGCCAATGTTCAGTTATCAAAATAATGTGAGGAAATTTTTGGTTTTCAAAAAATATCTATTGGAAATACTTTTCTTACACTGGAAAAAAATACTGTCTCGACGCCCGTTTGGCTAACCAAGTTAGCATCACCAGACAACTAAGACTAGTCATCTTGATGCTAACTTTGTTAGTGAAACGCATGTTGAGAGGTAGTATTTTTGTTCTACTGTAGGAAAAAGGTTTTCAATACATCAGTTGTTTGCCAGAGGATCCTGTATCTGATTATCAAGTGCAAAATTGTTCATATGATCTGGTTTATTTCGAATGGATTGTACGTTCAATGACAGTAAACTAATTGAACTAAGTAAACTAATTAAAAGCTCAAAAGAAAAAATGCACTACAATTTATTGCTCCTTATTTATTTAGCGAAACAGTTCTATTGTATGTACTATGAGTTTAGCAAAAAGATCATTAAACATCTGTATGGCATCAAGCTTATTTCTCAAATATTTAGCATTCTGATGGAAAACTTCCAGAATTACATCATTTTCCCGACCCGTAATATTTCTACGAGAAAGATAATTATTATTTTCAAGAAGAGTCAGTCAGAAATGCTTTATGGTCATAAAAATTTAGGTTTTGTTGACAAAGCAGGCTTAAGAACTAAAACAATCTGAAACATTAAAGTAAATGAAGTGAGAGAAGCGATAAAAAACCTCAAGAACAAAATGACTTCCGGTTTTGATTCCATACCATCTTTCATAGTGAAAGACTGTAGCTCAGTCTTAGCTTCCCCTCTCTGTTACCTCTTCAACTTATCGTTAAATACAGCAACGTTTCCTGATGTTTGGAAACTTGCCAAAATTTGCCCAATTATAAAGAACGGGGATGTTTCAAACATATCAAACTACAGAGCAATTTCAATTATCTCAAACTTCGCGAAGGCGTTTGAAATTATCTTGTATAAGCACTTTTACTTGTCAACACACAACCAAATAAGTGAATTTCAACATGGTTTCATGAACCACCGCAGCACTGAATCAAATTTAGCACTGTTTTCCCACTACGTGTGCCCAACATTGGATAATCAAGGACAGGTGGACATGATATACACAGATTTCTCAAAGGCCTTTGACAAAATTGATCATAGCATCTTACATTCAAAACTGGACCATATTGGCCTTAGTAATAAGCTACTAGGCTTTTTTGAATCGTACCTTTTTAACTGTAACCAAATAGTTTGTTACAACAGATACAAATCAAACACAATAATTGCCAAGTTTGGTGTACCCCAAGGATCAAATTTGGGACCGCTGTTGTTTTTGATATTTATTAATGATTTAAGCACACAAATAAATTCTATGAAACTTTTTTTTGCTGATGATCTGAAAATACTGAATTCTATCCAAAATGTGAATGATTGCATAACACTTCAGGAAGATATAGATAATGTGCAGGCTTGGTGTGAAATTAATAACCTACATCTGAATATAATAATAATTTAGCACTCTCGCTATGAGATAATCTCTCACGCAACAACATTTAACTTCTAAAGAGTTCTGAATGGTAAGTGTTTGAAATAGGTTTAAGTCGTCAGCCAGTGCTCACTGGCTTTTCTACTATTCCTTGCGTCGCGTCGGTTGTTTGCGAGACCCACATTGCTATTGTTTACTTGAGAATTAACTTTCTTTTGATTATTTTTAAATACATGCTTGAGTTTGAAAAATGTGTGACGTGACATCAGGGGAGGGGGTTCTAAAAATGTGACAACCTGTGACAAGGACGGGGGGTCTAAAAGTTCTAAAATTCATGTGACGTAATTTATGGATGGCCCCAAACTTTTCAGATCACCCTTGTATGTCTGCTCTTTCACAGACCGTGATGTAGTTCACCCTTGTATGTTTGCTCTTTCACAGACCATGATGTAACTATGTCAGGCAGCCCAGAATATACTGAAAAAATACATTAAAAGTAAACGAATTACTTCATTCTCTGTCTTCATTTAGGTCGCTACCAAGCCGGAGTAGCTGCCTACAACAAAATGGTATACGCCATCGGAGGCTGCGATGCTTGGAATTGTCTGACCTCGGTTGAGGTTTACAATCCAGAAGAAAACACTTGGCAATCATCCAAACCCATTATTACGGCGAGACGAGGTTGCGGTTTGGCTGTGTTTGATAACAAACTTTACGTAATCGGAGGATCAGATGGTTCTCATTCCTTGAATTCAACTGAAGTTTTCGATGAAGCAACTCAGACTTGGACAATGGGGCCAACTTTGACAACTCCGAGGGCTAATGTAGAGGTGGCAGTTGTGGGAGATCGGTTGTATGCTGTCGGAGGTTTCTCAGGTAATTTGAAATTAATTTTCATGTCATATTGTCCTACATTTTTTATTTCTAAGTCAGTTCTATTTATAAGGGTGGCTCACGACAATTTGAATACAAAAACAAACTATATTGGGAGTTTTGGTTGGAAGGGAAGCAACAGATTGTGGAGCCGTAGACCGTTCTTATCCTTAATAATGGAAATTTGTCTATCCTAAAAAATTACAAATTATTCATAAATGCATGAATTATTCCCAATTTATGAACAAAGGGTGGTGTATGAAACTGGCCACAAGAAGAACCTGCTTATTAGGCGTGGTATGCAGTGCAAAATGAAGTGTTGATTGTGCAAGGCATTTGATGACATACTTATGGATAAACCACTTTATTCAATGACTCAGAAATATAGAGGGTCGGCTATCGAAAACTTGACATGGAGGTTTTGGGTACTAATCTTGCAAATTCTAAAAAACGCTCAGACAGGTCGATTTCAATTGGGAGGGGGACAGTTTTCTACAGCGTCGTCACTTCAACCCCGGAGCAGAGGGGTGAATAACCCTTGGAATATTAATAGGGAACTGGGGGCGAGTCACACATCGTTTGAAACTTGAAATTCTCTAAACAACTGTGAACATTTTTTTTAATTTGGACGAACCATATTAAATTTAGAGTTGAACTTACTTACTTTATTCTCATGTTAGCATATGCTCAACATGGGCACCTTCAGCTTCCATGCAATAATAGAGATTNAATACTTGTGCTTCAGAAATATTCATTTATTACAATTATTTTCCTGGTTTACATCACTTTCTGTGTGTGTGCAAAAGCAATTTACACTTTCACTAGGAATAGTTGACTTCCCAAATGAAAATTGAAGAATTTGTCACAGAAAACTACGTTTTGTGATTTTTGGTGCATAAACTACCGAAACTGTATGATTAAATACGTTTCTCTACCATACACTTGCTCATTTCACTTCATATCCATCTACAATTATGTCTTTACATACATAAAAGAATTTCTTTTCTTTACGCAGTCCATTCAGGTAAAATTTGGAATACACACGACTTCTTTTTTTCAGGAAAGACTTTCCTGAACACCATCGAGTACTTGGACCTGAAATCAAATGAGTGGACCACATTCATCCCGAAAGGTACCTGCGAATTGCTGGCTAGGAGAAAACCGAGGAGTCGTAGGAACTCGAGGAAGAGTGTTTCGGAGGATAAGAAATCTTTAAATTCGCCCACCAAGCCATTGGATATAACAGAGAACTGCGTTACGACGCAAGAGCCCGCGACCACAGAACAGGAGACTGCTAATTAATCGAGAATCTTCACGATAAATTATTTGTTGACTTGATGTATGCTATATCTTTTACCGACTCTAAAGTAAATTTAAGATATACGTATTCCTTAACCAATGCAATTGAGTATTATATTCATGTTATGCTGAATTTTTTTTTGGTATCATCTTTCACAACTTTATATCATATTTCTTTATAAATTTTCGGCTTGAGAAGTGATAGTGATAATTAGGTTAGGAGTTAAGTGGGTTGGTAATCTCATTTATTCGTATTTGTGTTCTTTGACAGAGATCTTTAGGACATGAAAGCAACCTTCGACAATGCTGCAGTTTACTTTATCGATTTGAGAATTTTCCTTTCAAATGAAATAATGGGCGAGACAGGCATAAGGTGAGGATTATCTTTCTTTTAGACAAGATGACTCATGTTGCTTGATATGTAGCTTACATAAACTAAAATATTTTCAAAAAAATTGGAATACAACTGATACTTTAATACTCAAACATTTCAAATATCACTTTAAAATGTCAATACTTGTTGCGTGACTGCTGTGATGTCACATGTTCCCAAACACTGGTAAATTAATAATTTTCTCACCTAGAGACAACTGTGTCAGAGCTATTTCCGGGTTTGTTGGCTGTGATCTGCAGGTTTTTATGTCTAACGTTTTGTCTACAACTGCGGTAGATGAAATGTAGTTTTTGATTTTTCAGGTCGATAATTGATACTTGTCTATTGAACAAAAGTATGGTCTCTTGACGCACTAACTAGCATTGTTGGGAGGTGACTTGAACTGTCAGTTATTATCATTTCCTGATGCTTTACTTTATTTTTTATGAACTCGTCCGAATATTTTTTATTATATTTTTCTACTCTCACAATTTGAATCTGTTGATTAAGCAACATAATCTTTTGAATTTTTTTCTATTTCCGTTCAGTTTGTAACTTTGCTTTGACTTTCTTAGAGATGATAATGAGATAGTAGATCTGAAAAAAAAAGAATCCTGGTACTAATAACAATGGCTCGAAAAAAAATATCTGGATAAACTCGACTCCAACTGACAAGTTTTTTCCTGCGCTTTCGTTTGCAAATGCTCTAACAGTAATTTAATTTAATCTCTGTCGAAAACTTACTTGTTGCTATCGTCATTGATAATCAAATTGTCATTTCGCTATATCTTTGAAAGCACTCTGCATGTGGTATGATTTTGCAGGTTAGGTAAGCTAATGAAGGTTATAGGGGCTGGGTTTACGATATTTGAGGTTATGGATCTCACACACTCCTTCAATGCAACTAACAAGACCATCAATCTGTCCCTTGATGATTTCGAAGAAGCATTCACACTTTCGCAAATCCGACTAATGCAACCATACGTTGCAATACGTTGTATTCGAGTGAACATATCGGTCCCACTGCGATCAGTTTGTGTCTGTATCTTTTTTTTTTAATCAAAGTGAATGATGACATGGCAAAACTTATCCTGAACAGAGACTTAAATCAAATTGGGTCATGGAGTCGGTCGTGTAAGTCACGTTGCATCAGTGTGTAAGCTGTCTATATCTGTTATTGAGAAAGATTGATGAATTTTAATCGTTCATATTTTGACAAGATTCAAAGTTTTGAAACAATCAAAATGCTTAATTTCAGATAGCCAAAAATTTGTTTTCGTGAAAAAGTTTGCAAATCAACGTAACCCAGAATAAACCAAAAACGTGTTTTTCATTTTTATGTTGAAATATAGCAAAATTCCAAGATTGCTTGATTTTCACTTAGATCTGAAAAACAGTTGCGTTGTGTTTTGAATTTTTTTTATTTATTAAAATAAAACCTGTTGATGGATAAGCTCGACTCCAACTGACAAATTTTTTTCTGCGCTTTCGTTTGCAAATGCTCTAACAGTAATTTAATTTAATCTATGTCGAAAACTTACTTGTTGGTATCGTCATTGATAAATTCAATTGTCAATTCGCTATATCTTTGAAAGCACTCTGCATGTGGTATGATTTTGCAGGTTATGGGGTAAGCTAAAGAAGGTTATAGGGGCTGGGTTCACGATATTTGAGGTAATGGTAGCTCACACACTCCTGCAATGCAACTAACACGACCATCAATCTGACCCTTGAAGATTTCGAAGAAGCATTCACACTTTCGCAAATCCGACTAATGCAACCATACGTTGTATTCGAATGAACATATCGGTCCCACTGCGATCAGTTTGTGTCTGTATCTTTTTTTTTCAAGCAAAGTGAATGATGTCATGGCAAGACTTATCCTGAACAGAGACTTAAATCAAATTGGGTCATGGAGTCGGTTGTGTAAGTCACGTTGCATCAGTGTGTAAGCTGTCTATATCTGTTATTGAGAAAGATTGATGAATTTTAATCGTTCATATTTTGACAAGATTCATTGTTTTGAAACAATCAAAATGCTTAATTTAGGATAGCCAAAAATTTGTTTTCGTGAAAAAGTTTGCAAATCAACGTAACCCAGAATAAACCAAAAACGTGTTTTTCCATTTTTATGTTGAAATATAGCAAAATTCCAAGATTGCTTGATTTTCACTTAGATCTGAAAAACAGTTGCGTTGTGTTTTGAATTTTTTTTATTTATTAAAATAAAACCTGTTGAACAGATTTCTTACAGATAACGGATTTTATTTTAAAAAGATCTCGATCTAAGAAACGCCAAACCACTTAACTTCAAATAAGGTCTCCTTCAGATAGTAGATAGATCGATTTATTTGCTCACGTTATCGGTAGGTTTTACCTTCACTGTTGCAAAGTTGGTTTGTATAAAACTCAGAAGTATATTTCAAAAAGGATATATTATATTTTAAATACTCTTTTTTACTTGCAATAACCAATCGGTAGGTATCAATAATTCAGAGATAGATAATTTTTTAAATATTCCATCATAAATATTACGGTTTGAAGCTAGGAACTTTTCACTGTAAAACTTCAGAGAAAGCGAATGAATTCACACAATTTAGTCTATGATACAATTGGCATTCATGTTGAATGTCAACTGGCATTTCAGTCTATAGTTAGCACTCTTGTCATATCAACATTTCAGAAAACTTTCTTTTGGATCTGTTGAATTATCATTAGTTGTTGTGGCTACTGTGAAAAAATATTTTAAAGTAAACATTGTGCATAGACCAAATTTTATATTTCATTTGGAGCACATTTGATTTTTTCCTCTCTCTCTCTCTCTTTGTATAGCCGTCGCTTCCCTCTCCAATTTCCTCCTGTCAACCGTTGGCAAGACTTTTCGTTTTATTTTGTTAAAAAACATCATCTTTATGTTGGTCTCCTCGAGAAACCTTTTAATTTTTTCCACATGCATGGTCCCCTTTACGTGATTTTCTGAACCACCCGGCCTGGATACCGACGTGTATGAAGGGGGCCCTCACTTTACATTTGATAATACATTCAATTCACTCACATAGGTTATAACCGAATTGATGGATGTAGCCGTTGCTACGAGGTAGGAGGTCATCATTTCACATGGCATCCTCGTACCTTCTTTGTGGGCGGACGTTATTAGCATGTCCGTCAACTACCGTGGCCACCATGGAACTCAATTTCTGAGTTGGTTTCTCTGTTTGTTCGCCATTAGCGTCAGTTGTCTTTAGGGTCTGTTGTCATATTCATCGTTCTCGCCGTTAATTTGATTAATTATAGGAGTGTTTCGTTCACACTAATCTTATTCCAGAATTGTCATTCTCGCCAGAAGTTATTTGCTGTCTCTGATCGATCAAAATACATTCAGCAGAGGTAGCGAATATTTTTTGGCAAAAATTACTCGATCTGGGGTCAACAAAATACAACTTATTTAAAATACGAAATGGAACATAAATACAATGACAATAACAGATTAAACTCAAAAATTTGTTATATAGACATCAACTACATCTAACAACTGATACAGTATGGCTTAATGCCCGTGAATGGAAGCGCAAACGCCAAAAACATAGAGAGAGAGAGAGAACTAAGACTAGTAACAAACAAATACAAAGTAGCCAATTCGACCATACATGTGCTGCAAACAAAACAAAATATACAGAGTGTCCAACTTTGGGAAAATTATTCTCAAAGTGAAATCCTTATCAGATGCGGTCTAAAGATTGTTTTCTGAGAATTTTTCAACTCAAGTTTTCTCATTCTCGAAGAACATCAAATCATTTGTTGCTGGAAAGTCATAAATTCTTCATGCATAGGCAATACCTATGAGGAGTCTTTGTGATGTTTATACAATGGAGATTAAAATAAAACTGTACTTACGATATTTTTTCAAAAAAATGTAACAAAAAATTCGTTAAAACAACAACTCTCATAAGTAAAAACTTTTGTTACCTGAGGATTTACGAGGTCTCGCCTTTTAAGAAGCGATTCCTAGCAGCTCTACAGGATGTTGTGATCAACATAGTATGGGAGAAATCTAGATATATTTAAGGGTTCTGTTCAAAATGTTGGCATTCGGTACTTAGCACGCATCTGCTTTCACAATCACTCCTTTATATACTTTTGATTCTGATTGTAACAGAAGAAACACCTTTAATCTCCAGTAGTTTTTTATGACGAATTCCGAAATAATTGTAGGAATATCTCGTAATTCTCATATTTCAGGTAAATCAAGACATTGATTAAACTAAAATATAACCAATTTTCTAATCCCTTCGAGGTATTCGCAACTGTGACACATTTCTACAGTCCAGTTTTCCAAACATTTCATCCATTTTATAAAAATTCTGTTTCTGTTCTTTCAAAAATGTAAAAATTATATAACCTGACTCTTGCGTGTTCAAAATCATAGAGACTGACCATCTTTGATGGCATTTGTTTTTTTCTCTGAAGTTTTTCAAAGTGAATTTGACGTGTTTTTCAAAGTTTCTTGGAGGAATTGTAATTATTCTGCGTATGTAATTGATTTCATTTTGTTGTATTCACACTTATTTATTGTTCAGTATTCTGTGAATTAATTGGGAAACTGTTTGATGAAGGCATTTAGTTTTATAAAATTGAAAGTAAGAGACATTTCAAAGTTTTGCCATATCTTATATATTATAGAGGTAATATGTGGTTAATGGAGAAAATAAATGTTTTATTTATATATGCTTGTATTCTTTCACATTTTGTGGTGTGCTTATCGTTGGGAATAATATTGATACATTGAACACCACTCTTTGATCACTTGTACACCATCTCTTCACTATTTGCTTGTTGAATGAGAGTATTTAATGTGTGCACAGCATTGTCAAATTCTCTATTGTATCACGAGGTTTTTTAAAAAAATGAAGTGAATGTTCAAATATCGCGAACTACGTACGTACATTCGATTAGCGTTTTTTTATTTTCTACACTAATCTCGAACATATGTTCACAGTTTCAGCTGTTTAGCATGTTCACTTTTCTGAAGAGAAGCATACAAATTAGAGAAGTGTTTTGCGTGTTCAGCTATTGAAAAAAATGGATCAAAGAATTTGCATCAAATTTTGTGTAAAAAAAGGGATAAAGTGCTATAAAATACTTGAAATATTTACAGTGACATACGGTGACTGTACTCTGTGTCAGAAAAATGTTTACAAGTAGTATGACCCATGACAAATCATAAATATATGGTTAAGACATCGAAACCAAAGTAGTCCAATCATCCCAATGGAAGAGACCAGGAGAGCCAAGACCAAAAAAAGCACGCCAATGGGACAGTTTTCAAAGAGCAAAATATCTATTTGTAATGCACTGTTTGGAACCTTTGGTGTAGTAATGAATATTACTGGAGTTTAATCCCAACACCAAATCGTTATTTTTAACATCTCGACACGTGTTTCAATCACCAAGTGATTATCTTCAAGAGGAAGAATAAACCGTCATCAAAGCAGTCTGATAAAAGCATAACACTTGAAAATTCAACTTGAACTCTAACAGGACTCCTTATAGGTGGCCAGTTGAGAAGTGTAATGCCAATAAATGCAGTCTGAAGGAGGTAGTGGTCGACAGAAGATTATTTAAGCTAATGATGTTTGCCAAAGTAACAGACGAAATTATTGGTATTTCAGGATATATTTGACTACGGCCTACTAGCCCAGATTTGATTGTCTTTAAAAATTATATCGAAAAATAAAAAGAAAACCAAAAGATTTGCTTTTATGTTATTTATTTTATTAGTTTAGTATAAAATTCACTCACAATTTAGTATAAAAATAGATTTGATAAAAACACTAAAAACATTTAATATATTCTAAAATTCTTGTCACTACCTAATATTTGAAAAAATTAATAAACAGGAAAAAAGTAAAATGTACTTCATATATGAAGTAAGTTGTCAAAGACATCATTAATAGAGTTTGACAATACACCACCCAAATCAATATTCCACCATATAAAATTTTGGAAGCCCAATAAAGAGGGACCCCCTCAAGAATTTAAGACAATTGATATAACATAATGAGATACAACAACAGTGGCCTTGCCGTGGATAACTAGCAATATTGCAACAAAACCGTTTCAATATATATGAAAAACTATATTTAACAGCAGGAGAGATATTTACCAATTTTCCTATACACTTTATGATCTACTACCAAAGTTCACTAGCAGACTTTTTGTTTATAAAACAATCTTTAAATCCTTTAATGAGATCTCTGAATTGGAACCAAACAACTTCCTTCTCGGTACTTTCACATTTTTGTTCTTCACTTGATGGGTCATGGTCTTTGTCATCATTATATACCATCAAATTCTGACAACAGTTATCACTATTCCTATGATTATCTGAACACAAATTGATCCTAACATGTTTCACTTTTGGCGAAAATATCAATGGTCTAACCTGAACAAAAACTGTCTGGGAAACACTTTCCTCTTTGCTATTTGTGACCGATTTCTTCAGATACACATAAGTATTTGTACAAATTAAAGATGTGTCGATACTGTCCATCCAACTCTGAGACAGAAAAATATCTCTCAAAATTTTCGGATGCGCTTTATTCAGTTCATTGAGGTGATTTCTCTCAAAGTGTCCTTTGGCTAGGGACGAAACATTTATGGTGAAAATTTCTTTAGGGCATTGTGGAGTGGTACCAAAAACAATCACTACTTCGTCAATTGGCAGAACACTTTCACGAAACTCTTTTATGACTCCTTGCATGACACTTTCCAAAATTTCATAAGCTTTAGACACGATCCGGAAGTGGTTAGCAGCAGAATGGTTTATTGGTCGATCTGATGATTCATTTTCGTTTCTCTGTCGTTTTCTCTCAAGGACTGCTTTCATCCAACTATAAGGATATGGAATTTGAGACTTCTGATATAAAAGCCCTTTCAGCATCTCATTTACCAGGGATGCACAGGTCAGTGGTGTCATAATGAGATTTGATACGTTCACGTCTATCACAAATGACTTTTCACCTTTCAAGTCACCATTTTCAGTCTTCATTTTTGTATTATTAACCCGCAATTTAAAGGGCAAACAAAATAAACCTACAATCCTAACCTAACTTTTAACTGTTCCTACTTCCTACCACAGCATGTGTTTACTTCTATACGGTGCTAATATCTACTCTTTATATATTGCCACTTAAGATGTCTGGGTTTCTAGGAATCTTATTGCCACTGCAACTACAGACTTAATACAGACTACTCTACTGTTCTACAGGGTTCCCATTAGGAGGAGTCTTCTCATTCTTGTTTTTCAGGTAGGACTTCTAATTAGTTTTTCCAAAAAGTGGCCTGAGCTACTGGGGCTATCCGGCCAAATGATTCATTGTTTGTTGATGAGACAAATGGGGTCAAAGTAAAGTAAATGTGGACAACACAGTCCAAAAGAAAAATCCTGTCTGGGAAACTAGACACCAGTCACTCAGTACTTCAATGCTACATAATGATGCGCAAATCATGTACTAAAGTTTAAACTATAAATACTGTCAGAGGCCAAAGTCACAGGTATTATGGTCTTCGATTTTCATCATCAGTGAAAAATTGAAGTCGTGAAATCAAGACTATTTTCAGAGGATCAGGTATAGCTGAAACGTAGTAAGCCCCCTTGTACAGTTCCATCCTCTTGTACTCAACAGTCCATTTATTCCAGAAAGCTGCTTGAAACGAGGATAGAATTCAGTATGCGCTTGAGCTGGACGAGTGAGTCGGGCATTTTTTCCCTGTGTTGCAAATTCATCTACCTTCTCATTGCCTTTGCTATACGTATGAATGGAAATCCACAGTAACTAAACAACTCTATCACTTTTAATACCTCCCAATACAGTCCATTTCGTTTGGTTACACCGACTCTTCAATTAGTTTAACTGCTTCTCCAATGATCCAAACTTCAGCAGTGCAAATTGGAAGGTTTCTAATAACATCCAACAAATTTGGTGAATAGATCCCATCTTTAATTTTTCCTTTGATCCATATAGTAGTATGATAATTTTGTGAAAATAACCATTATAAGAAATATCACACCTTTGTTGTCAAATATATCAGTGAACATTTTACATGCAAGATGTATAGAAATACCACAGTGTAATCACTTGAACCCTTCGCTATCAAAATATTATGACAACATTCATTGATACTTCATAAGATAAAGAGATCTAAAGTACTTCGGCTTGATTTGCACCTGTTAACATGTAGATATAGATGAGATTTTGATGCGCATTCAAAACCAAATTGCACCTGCCCCAGACAAACTGTCGACGCCACTGTGAAGGGATCACTGCTATCTGTTAATGAATTGGCAGAGTACTTACAGGACATTTTGATGTATGCAGATGATACCACACTTACTTAATTTATTTTATCAATTGAGTGTAAAATCTATTCACGAGTTAGTATAAAAATAACTTCAATATAATTACTAAAAACATATAGTATATTCTGGAAAGAGTGAACAAATTGGAAAAAATAAAACGTACACAGTATAACATAACATTGACGTGTTTTGCCGAAGAAATCATTAATAAAGAGATTCAAAATATGTCAAGTTTAATATTTCATCATACAATTTCTGGAAGCCCATTAAAGAGGGTACTCCCTAAAATATTCAAGAAAAGTGAAGTGAACATGATGAGATAAGCACAGTAACAATGGCTTTGCAACGAAACCGTTTTGATATATATGAAAAACTAATGGGTGATAATCAACTGTATTGCCAAATATGCGCCAAACTAACTGTCAGTCAATCTAATAATAACACTGATGATCTCTGAGTCAACCTCTGACGATAACACCAAACTCTTACGCAGGCTCGAAATAGACGAACACATCAATAATCCAGCAGACCACTATTATAATCTTCATGCAGTCATTGTTCACCGTAGTTCTGGCGTTGAATCTGGTCATTATTACGCATTGGTCAAAGACGAAACGGACTGGCCCAGGTTCGACGATAGTCGTGTCACTAAGTGTTCTGACGATGTCTTGAATTTATTGGAGCCCCTGGAGACACCCCACATTTTATTCTATGAAAGAGAGGACATTGGCAGATCAAGATCATCAGACGTGTGGTGCTGCAGGTTTTACCGGGTTTTCCTGCAGCAGAAAAAGCAAATGCACTACTGGAATCAATGAAGTCGCCCCGGAGCGCTAAGTTATTTTTGTTGTCGATTCATAATATCATAAATTGCATTACCTAGTTGGAGAATAAATTTAATAATCTGCAAAAAAAATTAAAACTATATTTAATTACAGCATGCATGATATTTATTGATTTTCCCTATCTACTACCAAAGTTCACTAGCAGACTTTTTGTTTATAAAACAATCTGTATAGCCTTCGATGAGATCTCTGAACTGGAACCACACAACTTCGTTCTTGGTATTTTCACAACATTTTTGTTCTTGAGTTGATGGAACACGGTCATCATCATCAGTATATATCATCAAATTCTGACAACAGTTATTACTATTCCTATGATTATCTGAACACAAATTAATCCTCACATGTTTCACTTTTGGCGAAAACATCAACGGTCTAACCGGAACAAAAACTGACTGGGAAACACTTTGCCCTCTGCTTTTCGTGACCGATTTCTTCAGGTACACATAAGTATTCGTACAAATTAAAGATGTGTCGATGCTGTCCATCCAACTTTGAGACAAAAAAATATTTCTCAAAACTTTCGGCTGCGCCTTATTTAGTTCATTGAGGTGATTTCCCTCAAAGTGTCCTCTGGCTAGGGACGGGATGGTAATGGTCAAAATTTCTTCGGGGCATTGTGGAGTTGTACCAAAAACAATCACTACTTCGTCAATTGGCAGAACACTTTCACGAAACTCTTCTATGACGCCTTGCATGACACTTTGCAATATTTCATAAGCTTTAGACACGATCCGGAAGTGATTAGCAGCAGAAAGGTTTATTGGGCTATCTGATGGTTCATTTTCGTTTCTCTGTCGCTTTCTCTCAAGGACCGTTTTCATCCAACTATAGGGATATGGAATTTGTGACTTCTGATATAAAAGCCCTTTCAGCATCTCATTTACCAAGGATGCACAGGTTAGTGGTGTCATAATGAGATTTGATACGTTCACATCAATCACAAATGACTTTTCACCTTTTAATTCACTATTTTCAGTGTTCATTTTTGTATTATTGGAATCCGCAATTTATAGGGTAAACTTTCAACTCTGATCTAACTTCTACTTCTAACTGTTCTCACTCGTTATTGTATTACCACAGTACTTCAGTACACTATAGGATTCCCTTCAGGAGGAGTCTTTTATTCTTGTTTTTCAGGTATACAATTATTCAGGTATACAAATATTTTCAGGTATACGGCTTTACAAATGTTACCTGTTCTTTTAACTTGCATGATATACTTTATTTGATTTATTTTCATAGAAATTTCATCGGACTTTGCACACTACAAAAATTAATAGGGGGAGTGGGCTATTTACGTTCCGCACTGTATACATAGTGGACACATAAGTTCAGGAAATAAAATTAATGATACTGCATATTCATAAAATGGAGCTGCACATGCCTGCAAGCCTCCAAAAATCAAAGACACTTTCTGTAATTAAGACATACATTATAGGATATTAGACACGAAATAACTGTACAAGATTTCCATCTTGTACAGTTATTCGAAATAACAGATTCACAGTTCACCAAGAAATCAATGTCTGTATTCTGATAACAAAACCAGCTTATTACCGACCTCAATTATATCAAGATATAACTGAAGCTTGCGTATTCCAGGACTAATAGTCAACACCGCCTACGTACTTTGAGATTACAAAGTCCACATGTGCAATATAAAATAGGGCCTAACTTTTTTCTGTTACGAGCATTTGTGTTCAAATCTGAGCATAATATTTCTTGCCCAATTTTACATTATTATAGTACATACTGAAAGTGTTCTCTTTGCACGGACACTTTATCTCTACAACACAGTCACTAGTAGGCCCATTAGGAGAGGTCACTTATTGTTTGAAATAAGACAAGATCCCATCATCTTCATATTGTTGACTCACGAGACTGTATTGATAACACCTTTTTCTAATTATTTTCTTCTTTTAATAGCAGCAGTTTCTTTAAATGTTACGGCACCAAATACTTTTTCGATTAAAGAGCCACCTTTTTTCTGCAGTGAGCTGTTTCCTTCATTTTGAAGGCTGTTATTCATAAGTTACGCATCTCAAACCACAAATTTGAATCTGACTGGGCCATCGGAACATTCAAGAACTCATCCAATCTGAAGATTTTTGATAAAATTCTCTAAATAATTTAGAAACTTCAATTTGGCATCGTTCAAGAGGCATAGAAATACCAAGGTATTGTCATCGTTTCAACACCAGAATGAATGTATTTCAATCACAGGTGAAAATGTTTTGAATCTCCAGAAAACACCTCAGGGTTTCTCTGCATCTTTGACATCAGTGTTATGGTAATTGATGTCAAATGTCAATTCGTGTTTCTGTATTCTACATTACTTATGTGATTAAGAACCACTCACGCAAAAATTTCCAACAAGAACATACAACAAGTGATGTTACATATAGGGTACGGTATTGCTTCAAGCAAGTCAAATTGTACCACCCGAAGATGCTCCTATTATGTTATGTAATAGGAGGCGCGCTGGTCAAATGCGCCTGTAAGGAATCAACCATAACCAGAAGAAGAAGAAGAAGAAGTACATTAATTATTATTTACTAATATATATTTTATTTTAATTATTTCTCATATGAAAAATAAATTCTGAAATATGTAAAGTCAGTCTAGTATTTGACATATGGCAAACCACTATGAAGTGCCCAGCTGGTACGATTGATTTCAGTGTAAAATTTGTTTCTAATGTTAATTTGAATTCAATTTCAAATTTTTAGGGCTGGAAAACCTCCGGTAGGCTTGCATTTGGACGTCCTGAAAGGCGACAAGCTGATACAAAAGTTGATGATAGACGAGAAGAAATGTTACTTATTTGGGAGAAACTCGCAGATGAACGATTTTTGTATAGATCATGCCTCCTGTTCCAGAGTCCACTCAGCATTTGTATGGCATAAACACTTAAACAGGGCATTTTTGGTGGACTTAGGAAGCAGTGAGTATATCAATGCATGATATTACCCGTCCCCCAAAGATTTTTTGCAATTGCTTATGGCATAGGATTGAAGTTAAATTATCAAAAAATGTTTGCAATGAACTTTTTTTTATAATGATTCAGCATTATACTGAGTTTTCAGTAGAAGCGAGGAGTATCAAAGTAATGTCAGTGTTACCTTACGAGTCATTGGCCTCATATGGATAAGTACCTTTAACCAGATTGATTTAATCTATATGTCAGAATTACGTGGCAAAATAGAACTGCCAATTGCTGCGAGATCCAACTAAACATACTCCCTACCAATTTACCCCACTTTGATATTGTTGTTTCATTTCACAGCTGAAGGAAACATTTTGCCAATCACACTGCTTGTATCTACAGTACTTGAATGCCCTTTTTTAAATCAACTCACTCAATAAGTTTATGGATTTATTCGTTACTACGTGGTAGGAGATCATTATGAAAATTATTTTATTATCAACACTGCGGTATCAAGACTTAGTTTCCCAAATAAATTCTCATTACCAAAATCTTTTCCCTTAGCTTTTACAGTGGGGTAGTTCACCCAAATAACTATTCATTTGATTCAAATTAATATCACCTAGAAATTTAGTTTGGGTTTTTATTTACTGGAGATTTTCCCTCGTAAATAATGAATAGCTTGAATTTACCCATAATATCCAAAATGCAACAGTAACTGTGGACTTTATTCTACAAGTCGTTCTCCAAGGCCTGTTGAGTGACACTAGATTTTTCTGGTCTCTAAAATCGTATCTGTGCCGTGTGTTATTTAAAATGAGTTTTAATGGCTTGCCTAATCTGACATATATCGCCGGTTTTCCATTCTCCAACATCTTGCTTCTCCACTATATCATTTTTTCATTGCTTAAAAATGTTCATTTCTTTGTTGTCGTTACATTAATTTGTTATTTTTCAAGCATGAATCTGTTTTTATCCAGAAAATTTTTAGCTCACGGAACTTATATTGGAACATTACGCTTGGAAGCATACAAACCCACACAGCTACCGATCGATTCTGGTTTCCACTTTGGGGCATCTACTCGAAATTACATAATAAGAGAAAGACCGCAGTCAGGAATCAGGCCGATTATTGATGAAATTGAAAAAGCTGGGGAAGAATCAGAAGGAGGTTTGCTTGGATTACCAGAAACAGAGACGGAATTAGATGTAAGCATCGACAGTTTTATATAATATCATGTTATTGGAAAGTTTTCAATTGCATTGGTTAAGATATCATTCTACAACATTGTTGTTTTAAGAAGTTTCCTACTTGGATCGAGCCGTTCTCAGCAACATCTGCTTGTTCATTGAGCCAGAGAAATTTTTTCGAAAAACCCGTCGATTTTTTGAAAAATCTTGATGAAAAACTTCTAAATTTTAATAATGATAAATTAGGATGTTTTTTTCTGATTGATTCGGTCGTTATTGGATGAAGATCCATAGTAATTTCAAATCACTGAGAAAGCTACTGTGCTAGCAAAACATGTTGTGATATATTTTTCAAATAAAGTTTGTGGGGATCAAATCGTGAGGTGTAGCTTTTCAAATTAGAATGTTTCATTATCACTTATGTGAACATTAATATTACGAAGATTAATGATCAAACTAACTTTTTCAAAGAAGTATGTTATTCAAACAATTTTAAATTTGCAATGATTAAATACTAACCCGAAAATTTAACAATAAATTATCTTTAATAATAATATTATTACATAAGATGAGGTTATTTGGTTTCACAGATCTGTTTCTATCATGGTTTGAAAGCTTGTTGACTGGCCAATCTCAACAAATTAGGGTAGGTGGATAGGTAGGTCAACTATTCATGTAACGTCGGGAGTACCTCAAGGGTCTTATTGTGCACNTTTTATATAACAATATTACTGATGCTGATAAATTGAATTAAATTTTGATAAACGGAGATAAAACGGATAATCTTTATGAAATATATGAAAAATTCAATGACTATTTTATATAATTATGAAGGTTCTTGTTCATTGAATGGTTTTTCTTCTAATAAAGATTTTTCATGTAATCAAAGGTTTGTTCGATGTACCTGCAACCTATCAATTCTGAAGAAGAAGTCATTGACGGATTAAAAAACAAATCGTACCTGCGATGGTATGATATTTCGGAGAAAATTCTTCTCAACTAACGCTGAATGTACTGGCAGAAACAGTTAACTTGTCGTTTTTTGATGGGGCATATCCTACATATCTCAAAATAGCAACAGTCATTCCATTGCTTTAAGGTGGTATTTGCAACAGACCCTCCAACTTTAACCAATATTTTTATCACTTGTTCTCTCAAAAATTGTCAAGAAAATCATGGAAAGAAAAATGGTCAAATCAAAATAAAATCAAAATATGCTTTATTGTCTAAGAATAAATCTTATTGACAAAGCATGTTATACATAATGGATAGTAAATATAAACATGAAACCTAAATATATAAGTAATATACATACAAACATAAATATATATAAATCAAAATGTAAATATAAATACATAAATATAAAAATAAATACAATTATAAACATAAAAATATAAATACAATCATAGTCATAGTCATATGAAGCTGGGGGGTGAAATATACTTTAATATCGAAGATAATATCTTATAAATAGAGTATCAAAACTAAGACTAACTAACAA